TGAACATTGATGCAAAACTTCTCAACAAAATTTTGGCCAACCGACTTCAACAATTCATCCAAAAAATCATACACCACGATCAAACAGGATTCATTTCAGGGATGCAAAACTGGTTCAATATACATAAATCAATTAATATTATTAATCACATCAACAGGAGCAAGAATAAGAACCACATGGTTATCTCAATAGATGCAGAAAAAGCATTCGACAAGATCCAACACCCCTTTATGATGAAGGTTTTGGAAAAATTAGGAATCCATGGAACATTCCTCAATACAATAAAGGCTGTATATGACAAACCTACAGCCAGCAATATACTCCATGGTGAAAAACTAAAGCCATTTCCTCTTAACTCAGGAACAAGACAAGGATGCCCACTCTCTCCACTTCTCTTCAATCTAGTATTAGAATGCCTAGCTACAGCAATAAGACAAGACGCAGACATAAAGGGGATCCAAATAGGGAAAGAAGAAATAAAACCCTCCCTCTTTGCAGATGACATGATCTTGTATTTAAAGAATCCCATAGACTCCACTCCCAAATTACTCAAGCTGATTCAAAACTTTGGCAAAGTAGCAGGTTATAAAATTAACCCCCCAAAATCAATGGCTTTTCTGTATGTCAACAATGAGAAAAGTATGGCTGAAATTAGGAAAGCAACTCCATTTGTAATAGCCCCACAAAAAATAAAATACCTAGGAATTAACTTAATTAATTAATTAATTAAGAAGTGAAGGACCTCTATGATGAAAACTTTAAAATCTTGCAAAAGGAAATCAACACAGAACTTAAAAAATGGCAAAACCTCCCATGCTCCTGGATTGGAAAGATTAACATCGTGAAAATGGCAATACTTCCCAAGGCTATCTGCAAATTCAACGCAATACCTATCTAAATTCCACCCTCATTCTTCAAGGAAATAAAAGAGGCAATCCAAAAATTCATATGGAACACTAAAAGACCCCAAATAGCAAAAACGCTCCTCAACTGAAAGAACACTGCTGGAGGAATATCAATACCAAATTTCAAACTCTACTATAAAGCCATAGTAATCAAAACAGCTTGGTATTGGCATAAGAACAGACCTCATGACCAATGGAATAGAATTGAAAACCCAGAAATGAACCTACAGACCTATAGCCATCTAATCTTCGATAAGGGAGCTAAAACAATAGAATGGAACAAAGACAGCCTCTTCAGTAAATGGTGCTGGCAAAATTGGTTAACTATTTGTAGAAAACTAAAGCTATATCCTTATATATCACCCTGCACCAGAATCAACTCCAAATGGATCAAGGACCTTGAACTCAAAGCAGACACTCTGAAAACATTACAGGATGGAATAGGAGAAACCCTAGGTCTCCTTGGCTCAGACCGAAATTTTCTGAATAGAGACCCGGAAACACAACAAATCAAAGAAAGCTTGGACAAATGGGATTGCATAAGGTTGCAGAGCTTCTGCATGGCAAATGACATAGCCAGTAAGATCAATAGAAAGCCCACGGATTGGGGGAAGATCTTTACTAGCCATACAACGGACAAGGGTCTCATATCTAAAATATACTTGGAACTCAAAAAATTAAACCACCCAACAACAAATCCTCAAAGAAACAACTGCCCAATAAATAAGTGGGCGAAAGACTTAAAGAGAAGCTTCTCTGAAGAAGAAAGAAGGATGGCCAATAGACACATGAAGAAACATTCAACATCCCTAGCCATAAAAGAAATGCAAATCAAAACAACATTGAGATATCACCTCACTCCAGTTAGAATGGCAAAAATCAAGAACTCTAACAACAACAGATGCTGGAGGGGATGTGGACAGAAAGGAACCTTACTTCATTGTTGGTGGGAATGTAAACTTGTTCAACCACTTTGGAAAGCAGTATGGAGGTTCCTCAAAAGACTTCACATAGAACTCCCCTATGATCCAGCAATCCCACTTTTGGGCATTTACCCTAATGTTTACAAAAAAGACCACACTAAAGCTACCAGCACAACTATGTTTATTGCAGCATTATTTACCATAGCTAAGATATGGAACCAACCCAGATGCCCCTCAGTAGATGAATGGATCAAGAAAATGTGGTATATATACAAAATGGAATTCTATGCCTCCATCAGAAAGAATGACATTTCCCCATTTGTTAGGAAATGGAAAGGCTTGGAAAAAATTATATTAAGTGAAGTAAGCCAGGCTCAAAGAAACATAGGTCCCATGGTTTCCCTTATTTGCAATATCTAGTATAGGTATGAGTCAAGCGGAAAAGGTCAGATAATGTGATGTTAGGAAAACGAACCCTTAAATATGTATTTTAATGTTTTTGTTTCTTTCATGCATGTGTTTCTAACACATTTATAAGATTATTTCTTTGTTGCTTTCTATGTCCCTCCCCCACAGTGTAACACCCACTTTCACTATATTTGATGTCAGTATAACATGCGGAGGAGATGGGGACAAACAAGTCGTTTAAGGATTCAGGTGGACCTGTTGCAACAATGAGAAGTACAAAATGTCATGTCAAAACCAGCTTTACAATGTCGGGGGGGGGACGGGGGTATGATTGGGTGGGGGGAGGGGGGAGGCTGGGAAGGGATGTGAAGGGTAAACAAAGGAGCAGGCTGCAATGCTTGGTAAGAAATGTATGCATTATCCTGCACATGTAATTGTAACCCCTCTGTACAGTATGTTCTCAAATATAATAAAATAAAATTTAAAAATAAAATAAAATAAAGTAAAATAAGTGGACTTATACTAAAAAAAAAAAAATGAAATACTAGAATGCAGGATTAAATGGCAGTGTAGACCAAATGAAATGATCAGACATCTACAGATGTTACAACACAATACACATTCTTCTTGGCAGCTCATAAGACTTTCTAGAATATATAGCAAGTCTGAGAAAATATAAGAAAATTGAAATATTCTATCAGACCAAAATGGAATTAAACTAGATCTCAACAGAAAAACGATACTATAAACAGTATTCAAACATAGACACCAAACATAATACCAAACCTCAAATTATCTTGAAGAAACAGGGTAAGCCAGGCACTGGTGGCTCACGCCTGTAATTCTAGCTACTCAGAAGGCTGAGATCTGAGGATCACGGTTCAAAGCCAGCCTGGGCAGGAAAGTCCGTGAGACTCTTATCGCCAATAAAACCACTTGAAAACCGGAAGTGGCACTGTGGCTCAAGCCGTAGAGCACTTGTCTTGACCTGAAGAAGGAAGAGACAGCGCCCAGGCCTCCCATGACTGACCAAAAAAAAAAAAAAAAGAATCATGGTAACAAAAACATGGTATTGGAACTGTATGTATGTATACTTTACAGGAAATCATGTCATTTACAGGAAAGTGAATGCAATTGGAGGACATTTGTTCAGAAAACAGAATGTCACGTTTTTAGTTATATGAAAACTATATATATTGGCAAGAACAAAATATCCTAAATTTCTAAAATTCTGTGTTTCCATACTGTTAGACCAAAAAGGCTACAGGTTCTTATCTTTTAAAAATATGTGCTTTGCTTTTTGTTTGCTATGTTTGTTGTGCTGGGAATAAAACTCAGTTGAGCATGCTTGGCAAGCACTATCTATCTATCTATCTGTCTGTCTGTCTGTCTGTCTGTCTATCTGTCTGTCTGTCTGTGTGTTGTGGGGCTTGAACTCTGGTTCTGGGTGCTGTCCCTGAACTCTTCAGCTCAAGGCTAGCACTGTATCATTTGAGCCATTGTACCACTTCTGGTTTTCTCATGGTTTTATTGGAGATAGTTTCATGGCCTTTCTTGTCCGGGCTTGCTTTGATTGGTGATCCTTAGATCTCAGCCTCCTGAGTAGCTGAGTACCTACCAGCGCCTGGCTAGGCAAGCACTATTTATAGCACTAACTACAATACAAGCCCTCTTTTCTTTTTAATTCTGATCAGAGATCTCAAACTGCTTTTCATCAATCAATCAATCAATCAATCACAAACTGCTTTTCATAAATAAATAGCATACACATTAATATACTGCTGAACCAAATTACAAAAGAGACTCAGAGACAAAGGTATAGTAGAGGGTGCATAATTTTTTCTTAAGGATTTGACAATGAAGTGTCTTCTTATTCTCTTCCTCTGAAAACTTGCATGGAGAAATTAAACCAAGGTAAAGTAATAAAACTTATAGGCCTCAGGGGTCTCAAAGGAAAAACAGAATAAAATCAGGTATCCACTAATATGCTCAGACATTGCACACTTAGTGGTCCTGAATCAAAAATTAAGAATGGTCTCTAAAGGGATGGGGAAAACATCCACTACCCTTTACAAATTTAAATAGAGGGAAGCAGACATGCTTTACACTCCAAAACTATGGTAGTAGTCATTCTAAATGTGATCAAGGTAAATGTAGAATGGAGATGTTCTAAACACAGCTACGATTCAGCAAATCTTAAAACACACTAAAACCATGATTACATTGAAGGAAAATGCACAAATAGGGATTTTGAGGGTTTTTTTTTCATTTGAAGGTAATCTTAATGCTATTAAATTCACAAATATGCTAATTTAAATACCCAATCCTATGTATCTAAAACACACAATACATACATACAAGTATCTATTCTCTCCACATGTCAGCGCCCATTCGTATCATGGTTTAGAAATGAGGAGAATAGATTCCCCTTAAACTGCAAGTCAGTAGGTGTTTCTTTACAGTTAACTTTAGCAAAATTCATACAAAATAGTAATTAACAATGATCTTTACTTGTTAACTCACAAGGAAACACCTTCAAAACTGCATTTTGTTAAAGTTTCTGTACTAAAATGTAGAAAAACTGAACTACACAAATATTGAAAAGTTAAACATTCCTAAATTTTTTATTCCTGGTACCACTACCACAATTCACAGGGCAATATAGCTGATGTAATGAAAAGAAAAAGAAAAAGACAAAGCTGCAACAGATAAAAGACCTCAGCAATGTACATCTAATTGACACTACGTTGCATTAATCAATAGCTGCACTTTTTGCAAACTGTGGCTGTGACAGTCCTGAACAAGAAGGGTTTCCTGTTTAAGCTGCAGTAACTTTTCTGACTATGGATCATCGTTCCTTCTGTGGCAGATTTTTACAGTTCCTCTAAGGCATTTGGGACGACTGTCTCAAAGTAAACTGCAGCTTTCCTGACAACTCCTCGCTCTCTCTCCTGCTAAGAACTGTAGCCCTTTTTCTGTTGTTTTTAAAACCTTCTACTACCATATCCACCACTTCCACCACCAGATCCATAACCACCACCATATGGACTGCCAGAGCTTCTTCCACCAAAACTGCCCCCTTTCATGGGTCCATAATTTGATTGCTGTTGTCCACTGTAATTTCCAAAATCATTATAGTTACCGCCACCAAAATTTCCTCCTTCATTGTAACCATCATATCCTCCTCCACCACCCCCATATCCTCCACCTTGGTTTCCATAACCTGTTCCACCACCACCACAGCCTCCTCTACTACTATAACCAGGACGGCCACCATAGTTGCCACCATCACCTCCAAATCCATTGTATCCACCATCACCTCCTCCATAGCTACCTCTGCTGCCACCACCTCCAACACCATAGCCTACTCTTCCACCAAAGTTTCCACCACGTCCAAAATTACCTCCACCACCTCCAAAGTTTCCTCCACGACCCATAATGTTGCCAGATCCACTTCCACGACCTCTCTGTGATCCAGCAGACTGCATCTCTTGTTTAGAAAGGGCCTTTTTCACTTCACAATTATGCCCACTAATAGTGTGGTATTTCTGAACAACAATTTTATCAACTGTATCATGATCATCAAAAGTCACAAAAGCAAATCCTCTCTTTTTTCCACTCTGCCAGTCTTCCATAACTTCTATGGTTTCAATCTTGCCATATTTTTCAAAATAGTCTCTCAAATTATATTCTTCTGTATCTTCTTTAATACCACCAACAAAAATTTTCTTCACTGTTAGATGGGCTCCTGGTTTCACAGAATCCTCTCTAGAAACCTCTCTCTTTGGTTCCACAACACGTCCATCAACCTTGTGGGGTCTAGCACACATGGCTGCATCCACCTCTTCAACACAAGAATAAGTCACAAAACCGAAGCCCCTGGAACGTTTTGTCTGAGGATCTCTCATTACCACACAATTTGTGAGTGTGCCCCATTTCTCAAAATGTTCTCTTAAACTATCATCTGTAGTTTTGAAGCTCAGACCACTAATAAACAGCTTCTGCAGCTGCTCTGGTTCCTTTGGATCATGGCCCTCCTCCCCCCGGTGATGGCGGTGATGGCCAGAGTCGGGCTGGGGGAGACCGGGTGGCGGTTTTACCTCCATTTTGAGACCGGACTCGCCTCTTCCAACTCGAGTTCAATATGGGACCGAGAGGAAGAGGCTGAGGATGCATAATTTTGAAATATATTTTGAAAGGGTATAAATTTGATTGAAAGAGATGGTTTGCAGCTATGAAAATTGAACAAGAAAGCATGTTGAAATTGTTTTGGGAAGGTAGGAAGGGGAGAAGGGGGAAAGGAAATTGATAGACGGGGTGAGATTGATTGGGACATATTTTAAACATGTCTGGAAATATAGCAGGTGTGAGCTACTGGTGCCCTGCTCCTTTTTATTTGTATATGAAATTACTCTCCCTTCAAGAATGCTTATACAGTTAATTCCCCTCATTAGAAAATAAAGTTCTAGTTTTCTTTGTTTGTATGAGCTTTCTTCTTTTATTGTATGTGTGGTACCAGGGTTTGAGCCTAGGGTGTAAGGTTTGCAAAGTGGTGCTCTATGGCTTAAGCCACAACCCAGCACTGATGCATTTAACTTTAAAGACATTTTTACATGTAGCTATTACAGCCTTGACACTGAAGACTTTACCTGCTCAAGGAGAGTTCTCCATTAGACCCCCCCTTGTACCGGATCCACTTTATACATTCGTGTTCCGTAGAAATACCAGTAGAGTGCCCCTGAATTGTCTTCCCCTAGAGGTTCTACACGGAGACTGCATCCAGACCCTTGGCAGAAAAGGAAGGAGGGTTGGGGAAAACAATGAACTAATAAATAAATGGAAGAAAACTTCAATACACGAACCTATCACCTGTTTCAAAATGCCAAGTACAGGATATCATTTTTCCATCTGGGCAGATAAAACACAGAATGGGATGGGGCTACCTTCTTTGAAGAACAAGATATAGAAATGCTTGAAATGTTCCCTACCCCAACCACGGCTCCCACCCCTCCAAAAACAGAGAATTCCAATGAATGGTCTGACTACCTGGCTTAGATTTACTTTATATGTACACAAAAGGTAGTGGGTAGGATAAGATGTTCTAAGGCTTTGTCCCGTGTAATCCACTGTGGCATCTCAGTCAGAACCCACAGCAACATTCTGCTTCAGCTGAGACTCCCAATTTACCCCAGGGCCTGACCTAGGCTGGAGTCCTGAATGAAGACTACTTCTAAATGACACAACCAAGAAAGGACTAGAAGTCATCACCAGGTCTAATCCTGTATGATCCGGACACCTGCTAGAAGGGCATCGTGGCTCATGTCTGTCATCCCAGCTACTCAGGAGGCTGAGGTCTGAGGATCACGACTCAAAGCCTGCCCAGGCAGGAAAGGCCATGAGCCTCTTTATCGCCAATTAACCACCAAAAAGCCAGAAGTGGAACTGTGGCTCAAGTAGTAAAGCATTAACCTTGAGCAAAACAAAAACAAAACAAAAAGGGCTCAGGGACAATGTCCAGGCCCTAGTTCAAATTCCTACCACACCCCCCCAAAAAAGATCCAAGAGCTCTTACGTCTAACTAACCACTAAGAGATAGAAGCAGCACTGTGGCTCAAGTGGTAGAGCACTAGCCTTGAGCAAAAAGCTTAGGGACAGTGTCTAGGCTCTGATTTCAAAGCTCCATTCTCAACTACTGGGTTTTTACTGTGCTAGAGAAAGGGCTTTCAGGGAAGCACTTTGAGTAGATCGAAAACATCATCTGCATCTAGCTGGTAATCACAGAGGCTGTGCAGAATCTCCACACGGGTACGAAGAGGCAGGACTTGGAAACTGGCTTCTCTCAGGGGGTTGGATTTCCCTTCCTCAAGCTCCCAGTGGTACTTGATAATGTCTTCCAGGTAGCTGTGGAATGTCTGAGGCCTACCCATAAGGCCCAGACAAAAATACATGAATGTACACAAAGCTGTGGCTTGAGAGCTGACAAACTTATCAACGGCAACAAGGAGGATCTGACGGTCTTGGCTACATGAAGTTCCAAAGAAGATAAACGTGTCCTAAGAGCTCCCCATGGAGAACTCTTTTAAAACACAGGCAGCAGCACACACAAGTCAACAGCAAACTACGAAGTGGAGACAATGGTCTAATCTTTTGCTCATCCTATTTATTTATTTATGCATGCATGCGTGCATGCATACATGCGTACATGCCAGGCCTGGGGATTGAACTCAGGGCCTGGGCACGGTCCCTGAACTTCTTCTGCTCAAGGCTAGTGCTCTACCACTTGAGCCACAGTGCCATTTCTGACCTTTTCTGTGTATGTGGTACTCAGGAATCGAAATGCATGCTAGGCAAGCACTCTACAACTGAGCCACATTCCCAGCCTCCAAATACTCTTAAAGATCCATTTTCTCTTTATTTTCCTATTCAAAATATTAGGAAAGACCACTGGCTGTAAGTTAGTATCATGTGAATAAAGAGATGAAGACCTACTTGAAGTTACCTGTTTCTTATAGCAAAGAAACCAAGACAGAGGAGTAGAAATAGAATGAAAACAAGGATGAGTCAACTGCTTTCTAACACCCAAGGTTAGCCACTTGATATTAGTCAGCAAAGAGCTCTTCAGCCAGCTTCAGACAGAAGACACTTTCCTTCTATTGGCCAGCCCACAGACAGAGGCAGAGGGCTGGGGTACTGGCCGCTTTTAAGGGTCATCTGGCTGGAACTGGCAGAATTCATGACTAGGCAAATCAACTGATTTAACAGCTGCAATGTGTTTGGGATATCATAGAAAAAAGGCAGCTACTGACCTCTTAGAAGCACATGTCAGGGACATGAGAAGGTATCCAGTCTCCTTACTAGGTAGTAATTAAGGCAAAGAACCATACACAGTGCAGACTAAGTGAAAAGTAGAATCGCCTCCTTCCACACACTTCAAGCATTTGTGAGGCTTAACTAATGCATGCACAAGATTGATGAGGCCATATTTAGCAGGAGTTCTTGTAAATCAGCAAGTGAAGAGGTTGTATAAGATAATCTGAGGCCTGGGGTAGAGCGCAGCAGTGCACCATCCCCAGTACTGGAGCCACAGCCACTGACTGACAGTGTCTTTCCTTTATTTGTGTAGGTAGATGTGAATCCTGAGGCTTGAACTCAGGACCTGGGGGTGCTGTCCTTGAGCTTTTTTGCTCAAAGCTAGGGCTCTACCACTTGATCCACAGTTCCACTTCTGGGACTTTTACTTGTTAATTGGAGATATAGAGTTTCATAGGTTCCTACCTAGGCTAGCTTGATCTGCAGATCTCAGACTCCTGAGTTACAGGTACCCAGCTTGAAAGTGTTTCTTCTTTAAGATCACAGAACCTAGGCCAAAATAGCTAACAGATCTTTTGTTTTGGACAGGACTTTACAATGTAGCTAAGCCTGTGGATGAAATCTGAGGATCATGGTTCAAAGCCAGCCCAACAGACAACCTGAGATTCTTATCTAAAACAAAACAAAACAAAAACAGCAAAAAAAATCCTAGAGGGAGGTATGGCTCAAGGCATACAGCACCAGCTGTGAGCTAATCTTAGGACCAACTCAAAAAATACTGAAATTGGAATTTTGCAATAATAAATGGGGTGATTTGACAAGAATACCTAGAGAAGTTCTATAAACACCTAACAAGACATCACACAGGTGCTGCCCCGAGCTACATCACACGGCTGAGATGACCTGAGAAGACCATGGTTTGAGGCCAGCCAAGCAACAAACACAGAATTGGGCATTCCATGCCTGTCATCCCAATTCTGAGGAAGGCTAAGATCTGGAACAGTAGGGCTCCAAATCAAGACAGCCAAAGAAAAAAAATCCTGGAACTTCTTATCTCGGCAGAAAATGCTAGCCCTAAATGCAGCAAGAAGACAACTTATAAGAAGCTAAATCTGGAAAAATCGCTAAAAGAAAGCATGTGAAAATGATCCTTTTGTAGTATCACTGATTTCGCACACAGGAAAAAAAATGTGAAATATATAGGAAAAAATATATTACATTGACTTGAACTAAATGAAACTTTTTTTGGAGGGAAGGAGGTCATGGGGCTTTAACTTAGAGACTGGGCACTGTCCCTGGGGTCTTTCACTCAAGGCTAGCACTCAAAGCTAGCTCTCTATCACTTGGAGCCACAAAGCCTCTTTTGGTTTTCTAGTAGTTAACTGGAGAGATGAGTCTTAGGACTTTCCTGCCAGAGCTGGCTTTGAACCACAACCCTCAGATCTCAGCCTTCTGAGTAGCTTGGATTACAGGTGTGAGCCATCAGTGCCCGGCTAAATAAAAACTCTTGTTCTTTAAAAACATAAATGGAAAATACACACTAGGAGCAAATATTTACACTTTGACATTGTATGTCTAACAAGGGACTTACATCCAGACTGTATAAAAAATCTTAACAGTTCCATCTACAAACTAGTAAATACTCCTAACTGAACATAAGTAATCAAAAGATGTGAGTAAACAAAGAAGAGATGTACAAATGAACAAGAATGATGCCCAACATTCCTGGTCATCGGGAAAATACAAATTAAAATGACAGTGAGTTACTACCTTAAAGACAAGAGAATTGGTGAAATTAAAAGAGAAAATGTTGGTAAAGATATAGTAGAGCAAAAGACAAGAGAATCGGTGAAATTAAAAGAGCAAATGTTGGTAAAGATATAGAGCAAGCAACTAGACTTCTCCTATTTCACTAGTAGAAATATAAAATGTCACAACCACTTTGGAAAAGGAGTTTGGCAGTTTCTTGCCGTTAAACATACAATTACCATAAGATTCAGAAATTCTCAAAATAAATGAAAACACCTTTACAGCAATATTTGCATGCAAATACTCACAGTAGCTTTATCGTAACAACCTCAAAACCACACACATCCCTATCAACACATGGAAAGGGTAAACAGCTTGCAATTTATTTTTCACTACATACAATTTAATGCTTCACTTGGCCAAAATGAACAAACAGCAATCCCAAAGAATTCTGCAGACATTGCACTGAATGAAAGAAGCTGGACTTGACAGTGTGTTGTCCCATTAGCACAAATTCTATAACACTACTACAAGGTATCTTAGTAAAACTGAGGCGGCTGACAGCCAGACCAGTTTACATGGG